AGCATTTTATCTAAAACAATTGGAGACAATTGATTAACTTCAGAACTGCCTGAAGCAGTGGATAACAATTGGGGCAAACAATAGGCTAACCAAAAAGCTTCAAAGGAAAAGCTAGGAAGTGAGGTGCCCATAGGAGAGTTTTGAAAAGCTCCAACATATTCCTGGAAATCTAGAAGGCCAGGTGGATGTGCAGGGCTATGAGCATGATCCTGAAAGACCTGGAAAGGCCCTATATTCTCACCTCTGGCTGATCTTGAGGCTCTGCACAGGCAGAAAGTGGAGGCTTATGCAGAGTTGTCAACTGCCTGGCCGAGTGTTGAAGGTGTGCCTCAATATGCACACAGAGCCCTTCAGCAAAGATCGGGAAACTTACTGGTGTCAGGAATTAAAGGAAATTTCTGTCTGATCATTAGCTGACCACTAAGCTAAACTGAGTAGAGACTTCAGTGGCCACACATGACGGAAAATACAAATTTCATGGAAGTAGTTAAGAAAAGTAACCAAATAAACAACAACAAACCCTGGTGGAGGGAAATCTGATTTCCAGAGTTACCATATTATATTATTTGAAATATGCAGTGTTCAAGAAAAAATTGAGACATGCCAAAAAACAAGAGTATAGCCCATACACAGGAAATAAAGCAATCAATAGAAAGTGCCCCTGAGAAATCTCAGATGTTGGACTTAATAGACGAAGACTTTAAATCACTTATTTCAAATATGTTCAAAGAACTATATACAGAGCTAAAGAAAAGTATGAGAACAATGTTTTACCAAATCGAGAATATCAACAAAGAGATTAAAAAGGAACCAAATAGAAATTCTGAAAAGTACAATAACTGAAAAAATAACTAGAAGGGCTCGACAGCATATTTGAGCAGGCAGAAGAAAGAGTTAGCAAATGGGAAAGTAGGTCAATTAAGATTATCCAGTCTGAGGAAAAAAAGAAAAAAGAATGAAGAAAAATGAACAGAGCATCAGATGGGACACCATCAAGCATACCAAACATATGCATAGTGGGCGGCTCAGGAGGAGAGGAGAGAAAGAACAAGGCAGAAAGAATATTTGAAGAAATAATGGCCAAAATGTTTCCAAAATTTGATGAAAAACAGTAATCTACACATTCGAGAAACTAAACAAACTCCAAGTTGGATAAACTCAAAGAGAGCCACATGTAGACACATCATAAACTGTCAAAAGAAAGAGAAAATCTTGAAAGCAGAAAAAGAGAAGCAACTCATCATGTACAAGGGATCCTTATTATGATTAAGAGCTGATTTCTCATCAGAAACCTTGAAGGCCAGAAGGCAGTGGGGATGACATATAAAAAGTGTTGAAAGAAAAAGACTATCAGTAAAGCAAAACTAACCTTCAAAGTGAAAGATAAATTAAAACATTCCCAGGTGAACAAAAACTGAGAGAATTTGTCACTAGCAGACCAGCCTTACAAGTAATACAAAAGGGAATCCTTCAGACTGATATGAGACACAAGAAAGTAACTCAGATTCACATGAAGAAATAAAGAGTACTGGTAAAGGTAATTACATAGGTAATATAACAACACAGGTAAATATAAAAGATATAAATATATTTTTTGTTTGTAACATTTTTTTCTCCTATCTGATTTAAAAGATAACTGCATAAAACAGTAATTACAAATCTGTGGTGATGGGCAAACACTTCATAAAGCTGTAATTTGCATGACAATGACAGTACAAAGGAGGGGGGAGGGAATGTAATTTTTGTATACTATTGAAATTAAGTTGGTATAATCTGAACTAGGTTGTTATAAATTAAGATGTTAATTGCAATCCCAGGTTAACTGCTATGAAAATAACTAAAACACACAAATACACGGATATATATATATAGTAAAAGAACAACAACATAAAGAAAACAAAAGTCCTCACAACTGGACCAATAAGCAACATCATGATAAATGGAGAAAAGATTGAAGTTGTTGAGGATTTCATTTTACTTGGATCCACCATCAACACCCATGAAAGCAGCAGTCAAGAAATCAAACAACACATTGCATTGGGCAAATCTGCTGCAAAAGACCTCTTGAAAGTGTTAAGAAGCAAAGATGTCACCTTGAAGACTAAGGTGCGCCTGACCCAGGCCATGGTGTTTTCAGTCGCCTCCTATGCATACAAAAGCTGGACAATGAATAAGGAAGACCGAAGAAGAATTGATGCCTTTGAATTATGGTGTTGGTGAAGAATATGGAATATACCACGGACTGCCCAGATAATTAACAAATCTGTCTTGGAAGAAGTATGACCAGGATACTCCTTAGAAGCAAGGATGGCAAGACTGTGTCTCACATACTTTGGACATGTTATCGGGAGGGATCTGTCCTTGGAGAAGGATATCATGCTTGGTAAAGGGTCAGCAAAAAAAGGAAGGAAGACCCTCAATGAGATGGACTGACACAGTGGTTGCAACAATGGGCTCAGGCATAACAATGATTGTGAGGAAGGCGCAGGACCGGGCAGTGTTTCCTTCTGCTGTACATGAGGTCGTATGAGTCAGAAACGACTTGATGGCACCTAACAACAACATTAAAAGAACCACAAGAAAATTAAAATGGTGCATGAGAAATGATCTATTTAACACAAAAAAAGACAGTAATGAGGACAAGAGGAACTAAAAGGACATGACATATAGAAAACAAATAGCAAAATAGCAGACATAAACCTTATCAGTAGTTACACTAAATATAAATGGATTAAATATGCCAATTCAAAGACAGAGACAGTAGAAATGGATAAAAAAGTATGGTCCAACTATATGCTGTCCACGAACGACACACTTTAGTTTCAAAGACCCAAATAGGTTGCAAGTAAAAGAATGAACAAAGACATACCAGCAAACAGTAACCAAAAAAGAACATGAGTAGATATACTAATATTAGACAAAATAAACCTTAAGACACAAATTGTTACTAGAGACAAGGACATTTTAAATGATAAAAGGGTCAATCCATTAAGAAGCTATAAAAATTATAAAACATGTTGTTGTTGTTAGTTGCCATTGAGTCAGCTCTCACTCAGGGTGACCCCATGTACTACAGAACAAAATGTTGACTGGTCCTGAGCCATTTTCACAGTCGTTGGTATTCATGGGTCGATTGTTGCGGCTACTGTGTATTTTGAGTGTCTTCCATTCTAGGGGCTTATCTTCCAGCTCCCAGACAATATTCTGTTGTGGTCCATAGAGTTTTCATTGGCTGATTTTTGGAAGTAGATTGCCAGTCCTTTCTTCCTAGTCTGTCTTAGTCTGGAAGCTCCACTGAAACCTGTCCACCATGGGTGACCCTGCTGGTATTTTAAATTCTGGTGACACAGCTTCCAGCATCATAGCAACATGCAAGCCATCACAGTAGACAAACTGACAGATAGGTGGTGGAAATAATAAACATATGCCTGTAATAACAGGGCCCCAAAATATTTGAAGCAGAAACTGAGAGAATTGAAGGAAGAAATAGACAACTCAGCAATAATATCTGGAGACTTCAGTACCCTCTCCCCCTTCAATAATGACAGAACAACTAGACAGAAGATCAGAAAGGAAATAAAAGACTTGAACAACCCTTAAACCAACTACACTTAACAAATATCTATAGAACACTCTACCCAGCAACAGGAGAATACACATTCTTCTGATGGTCTCCAGGGTAGACCATATATGTTAGGACATAAAACAAGTGTCAATAAGTGTAAAATGATAGAAATCATACAAAGTATGCCTTCTGACCACAATGGATTGAAATTAGTAATCAATATCAAGAAAATTTAGGAAATTAACAAGTAGGTGCAAATTAATCAACACACTGCTGAATAACCAACTGGTCAAAGAAGAAATCACAAAGTAAATTAGAAAATACTTCAAGGTAAATGAAAATGAAAATACAACATACCAAAACTTATGTGATGCAGCAAAAGCAGTTCTTAGGGGAAATTTATAGCTATAAATACCTGTATTTAAAAAAGAAAAATTATATCATATCAATAAAATAACCTTCCACTTTAAGAAACTAGTAAAAGAGAGAAAACTAAATTCTAAGGAAGCAGAAGTTAGGACATAATAACGATGAGAGTGGAAAAATGAACAATGACCAACTAGTACACACCCAGTAGAATTGCTGAAATTAAAGACTGACGATAGCAAGTGTTGACAAGGATCTGGAGCAACTGGAACTCTCACACATTGTTGGTGGGAATGCAAAATGGTACAGCCACTTTGGAAAATAATTTGGCAGTTTCTTATAAAGTTAAATGTACACTTGCTAATTAAAAAAGAAAAAAAACAAACTCATTGCTATTGACTTTATTTTGACTTATAGAGACCCTATAGGACAGAGTAGAACTGCCCCATAGGGTTTCCAAGGCTGTAAATCTTTATGAAAGCAGACTGCCACGTCTCTTCTGCAGAGTGGCTGGTGGGTTCAAACTGCCAGCCTTTTGGTTAGCAGCCAAGCACTTAATCACTACATCACCAGGGCTCCTAAACTTGCCATACAACCCATCAATCCCATTCTTATGTATTTACCCAAGAAGCATGACATTTTTTAATATGTTAGTCCTTGAAATAAGGAACATACTAATTTCTTTATGACAATAACACTAAATAAAACTTTTTCTAATACTAAGTATTATTTATTTTTATTCCTGGGAGTCTTAAAAATGAAACTGTAAGTGAAATGACTTATCCTAATTTCTAGATTTTGTGTATCAATATATTCGGATTCACATGAAACAATTTTTAGAGTTGTGCAAGTTTTTAATTTTTTTAAAGCTATTGCTTTTATATAAGGTCTGAAGATTTGCTCTTCTTGGACTTCAGTGAGGCAGATGTTGGCTGCAGGTAGCCCCAATGACAACGTGAACAAACAATTGATGTTTCATTTGGAATCTAAAGTTACAGCTCCAGTCTTCTTGTGTCTTTGTAGGTGCATTCTCAGGTGTTGAACTTATTTTCCTTTCATATTTTTGTAGGTTTGTTGCCACACCTCTAGCAAAAACATTTGGCATTAAAGAAATAGTTCGAAAGACTGCTACACCAAATACTGTCTTAGAGAATTTTTTCAATTATTCCACAAGACATCCATCGCAAGTAAGTACAAATTCTTTACTATTGGATTTAAAAATCTCCTTTCTTAATGTTTCAATCAGTGATCTATGGTTTACCTCATCTGTCCAAGAGATCTGTTCAGTTGACTGGCAAATGATTTGATTCATTTCTTTGCTCTGTTGACAGGCCATACAGTATCCCAAGCATAATGTAAAAACAACAAATAAATGTTATAGTATAAAATAACAAATATATGTTAATAATTAAACTAACAATCAATGCCAAGAATTGGGTATAAAGATCAAAACTTAACTTTTAATGGTAGGATATATACGAAATGCACTAATCAAAAAAGATAATCTTTAGGGCAGAGTAGCCTGTATCTGACACTTTGGATGATTATGGAACCATCAGCATACATTACAATAGTGACCACTGTGGTAACTTTCATGATGAGGAGTCTTTTATTTTGTCCAAAGCCTCACCACACTCAGAAATATTCTGTGTCCTTGCCCGCTCTCTAGAGATTGAATCTTTATGAGTTTAGCTCTTCAGAATAGATACTGTCCTTCATAAAATGTAGTGCAGTGCATGTTTATACATCATACAAAAAGTTACTGGTTTTTAATCTAATAGTTTTAAAAAATAGTGTCCAGGTAGGGCTAATGTTCACTCCAGTTTCATTATACTTCCATAGTTGAAAATGACAGATGAAACAATACAAACTTCTTCTAAAGCAGCATTCCTCCTATGATGAATGCAGACAGCCATCACTAATAATTTTAAAAATCAAGAGTAGGTACTAAAACAGTTTTAGATAGACAGATTTTTGATATGCCCAAATAGGCTGCTCATGTGAGCTAGTTTGATTACTGGTGCGTTTGAAGCTCTAACATCCTGTCACCAGGTGGTTAGATCTGCTACTGAGTATGTGAGCACAGGATTCCATTTACTTTTCTTGTATGGATTCAGCTCAAGTGTCCAGGTAGTCTGTCACCAAGTGTGTGGTGCAGGCTCTCACCTACAGTCCTAGACTGGCATGGGTGATTGTTGTAGGCACAGGTATCTGGCTGCAGTAGGGGGTCACACACTGAGCAAGGCTGGGAGCTGATGCCTGCCCCGGAGTGTCTGGGAGGAAAGCATTTCCCTATTCCCTAGAGTGTGTAGGTGGGTGGGTTTTGCAGCCGGACTATGAGCACCCAGTGCTGTTGGCTGTAAGGACTGCAGGGCACTACTTATTCTTGGACCCCTGTCGCAGGTGGCTAGGTGGTGTAGATGGAGCCACTAGTCCTCAGGCCCCTGATGTGGGTAGGTGAAGACCCTGCTTAATGGGCAGAGCAGTGTCAAATGTCACAAACCTGCCACTTCATAGCTGAAACAGTTCAAGTTAGACTTCAGGTATATACCCTTCTGTACTGTGGTAATGAGGGTCTAGGCTGTTGAAATGGGCCCACACAAGTCTATGCAGGGGTGAAAGGCACTCAAAGTCTGTGGACCCCTTACGCCTGTGCCTAGGCAAAGGAGCTGTGCTTACTCTGAGTTCCTGGCTTAGGGGAACTGGCAGATTTTTTTTTCCTCTGTTTGTTAATTTGTTCCCTCTCCAAGGCTGAGAGAATGGCTCAGGGCATGTGATGGATTGTACTTCCAGCCCAGGGGACTGGGCAATCACTGATGAAGCCATCCTGGACCCACTGCAGAGCAGGGAGTGGGGAGGTAAATGGGAGAGAGGTTTTTCCCAAAGTGGGATGTTTTTAATGCGCGTGGTAGGCCAGACGCAAGTACTTATCTTTTGCCAATTGAGTGTTGCTTCTCACTGGTTCTGGATGGCCAAGTAGAATGTCTGCCGCTGGGTCTCTCCTGATGTGGAAAATGCCTCCCAAGCACCACTGCTAGCCTCACTGTGTGCATGAGCTGATCCGGCCTGAAGGGCTCCGGCTCCCACTGGATCACGTCTGGCAACTCCTCGCTGCTTCCAAACCATCTCTCCCTTCCCTTGCCATTCAGTCTGATTCCTCAACTTTGCCTTTGAAGTTCAGGGCTCCTAGCTTGTCACATATAATCTATTCACTTGTTTTTTCAGGTCTTTGTTGTAAGACCACCGGAAGCATCTGACTACTCTGCCATCTTGGCCCTGCCTCAGATAGACAGATTTTTAAGGGTCCTGAACTTTATTTGCTGATTTCAGTAGCTTCACTGTGACTCTGTCTATCCTTGGTCTGGCGGGTTTCCTGCACAAAGAAGGGATGTTGACCTTTGACCATGTAGCAGGAGGTATAGTGTCCAGTTCATGGCCAGCCAACCCTGTCTCTAACTTGTTCTGCCCTCAGGCATATAACATAGCCTCTGTGTTTGACCTCTTTTTCCTAAAGCAGAGACAGATTGACAAGCCATCTTCACATGTTCCCTATTCTCATGTGTTCTAAACTACATTCCTTCATCTAAATACTGTTGTTACCATTCGTAATAATAATGTCTAAGCATCATTTTACAATTTTCAAAGGAAAAATTATTTAGCTGTGTTTATGAAAATTTAGACTACTTCAGGGAATCCTTGTTATTCTTCTCTATTTCTGTTTGAGAGAAACTCAGTTTCATAATACTGGACAAAATATGAAGAATGTGCTATACTATCTATTACTTGCTCTAGCTGCTTTTTTTGTATTTGTAAAATAATCTAGAAAATTTGGTCCTTATTAAGTTTTCCTGCTACAGAGAGAAAATGACCATGTGACAGTTAAAAGAAAACTAAGAAAAAAAACATTTTATTAATAAAATTATCGTACCTGCAAGCTGAACGAGATTTAGGGATTAGGTAACCTTTCGTTTTCATGATTGAGATAAGGCAGCTAATGCCCAGTGAGGGGAAATAGCTGTACAAGGTGAAAGCTGGAACCCAGCTCATGATTTCTTGTCCAGTTCTCTTTATACTATACTTCAGTGACTTTTTAAATCTGTGAATAGAATATTAAAAAATGTTTTTCAAAGGCTGAAGCTTTATTTGTAGTCATTGTTCTAACTCATTTGACAATACAGTATGGCTTAAAGTAGACATAATTTGGACATTTAAATCGGATAAGAGAAAAAAATATCATATGTCACCCCCAAAGTATTAGAAAGCTTTATCTACTAAACCAAGAAAATGAAGTAAATAATTAAGATTACTAATATATATTGCTCCTAGATTATAAAATTGAGGCAGTATTTATTTGTGTAACAGATCAACACAACAAAAAGTCGGTTAGTAAAATGCCTATAGCTTAAAAATACTAGAACTTGGCAGGCTAAGAGAGAAGGGCAAAGTACATGACTTTTTTAGTGAGCTCAGATGTGGAATCAAAATAACCCCCAAAACACATTAACTTGGCCAATGTAATACAGATAGCATTTTGCTTAATTTATGGCTGAGGTAAGCCAGTTTTGGGGGTACTAAAAAAACTTTTGCGCTGATTCAGGAGATTCAGGATATGGGTTTTACCACTAAAAAAGTATTCCAAGCATATAATGCAGAACATTGCTTTGGTAAGTTCTGTAGATAACACCTGTCATTAAAGACAATTGAATATATGAATCTGAGGATGTGCTTCTTCAGCTACTATAGACTGCATTGATAAAACAAAAATATTTCAGTATATACAATACGGTTTAGGGGCTAGTTATCACCAAAGGATAGAATGTGGTATTATGAGGACTAAAATACCAGACATATTAACTTCCTGTATGTTGATCTGTGGTTTTGCACAGTTTGTGGGTGACTGTATATGTGCTGCTATGTGTCTATCATATATATATATGTGTGTGTGTTTGTGTACATATATACACACATATATGTGTGTGTATGTGTGTGTATATATATGTATGTATATATATATGTATGTGTATGTATATAAATATATATATATATGTATATATATACCAGTAACAACTTCAAGATGTAATATTGGGAGAGAGTCATGATACAGACCAACAGCCCTGGCCAACAGGTCAGTCATTCTGCTACATGATAAAATGTACTAACAGTGGAATTTATTATCTAGCCCTTTTCTTCAGCAAAAACACTGTGAGAAATGATGCAGAACAAATAAGCATGTAGTTCTGGAAGAGGTCTAAAGAAAATGTGGCAGTTTAAGACATATAGCCAGCTATTGTGGTCAATTAGGGCACTGCAGTTTGCTAGCTTGTCTCATTCATAGATTCAAACAATTTTAGAGCAGAGACCTCATCTAGTCTAGTTTATTTCACAGGTGAGACATGTGAGAGCCAAAGAGGGTGGGAGATTGCTCCACAGTCAGAGAGGCTTTGTCTTTCACTCAAGAAGCCAGATCCCTTGGCCCCCATTCAGTGCTCTTCCTTTAGGCCTTACTACTTCTCTTTGGCGCCCTGGTTGCAAAGTGGTTAAGAGCTCGGGCTCCTAACCAAAAGGTCGGCAATTCAAATCCACCAGCCCTTCCTTGGAAACCCTATGGGGCAGTTCTCTATCCTGTAGCGTTGCTATGAGTTGGAATCAACTCGACGGCACCAAAAAAAAAAAACCCCAAAAACTTCTCTTTCGGTTCTGCCTGGAGGCTTTTCCTTCACTCTCCAACCTTCTTCTGAACACTTAGTACAGTGTATAGTGCAGTAGCTAAGAATACGGAACTTGAGGACTGACCGGTGGGTCCACACTATGGCTCTGCCGCAGATTCTGCACATGCAGGTGGCAGATTCACCTCTCTGTGTCCCAGTTTCCTCCTCTGAATTGAGCACGATTGTAGTGCTTATATCTTAGGGCTTAGAATAGTACATAAAGTACCTGCAATAGGGCCTAGCACAAAGCAGGTGCTCAATACATGTTATTTGTTACTTGTAATCTGTACCATTAATTTTGTACTTATCATAGATTGACTTACACAGGAGCGATTTTTGTATGTTTTCCCAACTCAATGATTATCCCAAGGGACCATCATTTGTTTCTTAATCATGTTTGTTTCCCTCCCCATAATACCTTGACAATTTTTTGTGCATTGTAAGTGTTTAATAAATGCTTGCTTCATATATTAACTAAA